ACGTCTCACCTGGATGTGCATCTGAACAAACACGATCAATCAACAGAAATAAGAAAACCACAGAATAACGAGCTGCTTCATGTGTGAGATGTTTTGTGTCTAATAGTTCCCTGAATGACTGATTCTGTTTCAGCTCTGCAGCGACTTTCAGCTTCCGTCTGTTTGCAGAAAAACAACAACAACAACAACAACAACAACAACAAATATGAAACCAGGAGGAAACGCAGCTCCGACTGAACCCAAACAGCTTCACCAGAAAACATGTCGTCTCCACACAGTTTCGCTTCACGTTGATAAATCTGTAAAACACTCGGAATGCGCCCCCTGGTGGTCGATGCAGGGAAATGCTTTTCACTGCAGCCGTTGGAGAGATGATCAGGTTTAATGAGGATGAAGCATTTGTGCCTCTTAAACAGGATCATTAAACGAGGAGGTTTCCTCCACATGTGGAGCCACTTTATGAAGTATTCGGTTGTGGACGTATGAAGCCACCGCGCTGCAGGAGGGTTTCTGTCATCAGACATTCCCACCATGTGACTGAACGGCCTGTTAGCTTGTCGGCTAACTCCTCGCTGCACAGGTCGGGCTCTCCCGTCACCAAAATAAGTTCTACAAACGCTCCAGAAGCTCCTGTCGGAGCTAAAGGAGCAGAAGATGACTGGAACACATAGAAGGAGGGATTCTGTAGGTTTTACTGCATAGACGCTGTGACTACAGAGGAACTGCTGCTGTAGAGGATTCAGCGTCTGAACGGGTTCTGGTGGTTTCAGAGTTAAAGTCTGTTGGATCCTAAAGTGGAAACAGAACCTCTGAGCGAAAGTGAGACGTCTGGTGATTCATCAGAAGGAACAAACAGCAGAGAAACGCTGGATTTCCTCCTCGGATCTCTAAAAACAGACGAACAATGATGCTCCAGAGTCCAGTAAACAGTCCGAGGTGTGTTTGATTTATTGACCAGGGCGAGTCCGAGGAGCGGCGGCTGATAAGGAGGATAACTCACAAACCAAACAGCTGCAGGAATGTGGAGTGTGTTGAGCAACGGCAGCTTTATTAGATCAGACCGTCCTGCTGTAAAGCCTTAAATCATTACTGGGATTCTCCACCTTCGACCTTCTTACATTTCAACACGTAGCAACAGCAGCGACAAACAGCGTCGGGATCACACGTCTGATCAGTTAAAGGGAATCACGGCTCAGAGGTTTAATCTGATCACAGGATGAAGAACAAACAGCCGGTTCAGCCTCCAGGTCCTGATCCGGCCACACATCTGCAGTAAAACCTCGTTTCCTCTAAACAGAGCTGAGATGGATTAATAATAAGAAGTTAACTGCCTGAACTTCAGCTGAAACAACATCTCCAGGGAAAATATCTGCTCATTTTCACAGTTTTTCTGTCGTTAAAAACTCTTTGGTTTGTCATTCAGGACAGAAAATTCATTAATTCTTTGATATAATAAAACGCTTTCCTTGAATATTTACATACAGAAAAAATACGGGACGTTAACACCTCTTTTCCGACTGAACTCTGACAATCTAACAGCAGCTGATTCATGAGCAAACAAATGAATAAAATGTAATAATAAATAGATAACAATTAATAAAACATGTCCTTTGTGTTTTGATTGATCAAGTTAACTCAATAAACGTATCTTTAAAAATGCAATGTACATTTTAATATTTGATTTGAAGCTAAATCACATGAATTCCACCAGAGCCAAATTCTGCAGAGATGGTAGTTAGCATCGTTCTGCTAAGCTAGTTAGCTTTATCTGTTGGAACTTTGTTTATTACGAGTTAAGACTCAGCTGTTGTCATATTTATGTGTGGAACTAATACTGTTCCCCGAAAGTACTAGAACGTCAGCGCAGTGTTTTCAGCAGAACACAAGAAAAAGTCCCTCATTAGCTTTAGCTAATGCTAACCACAAGCTTGAACTATTTTGCATGTAACAACTAAAGTGTCGCTCTGTTTTCTAGTTCTTGTAGAATATACACGGCGTATTTATCACTGTGCCATTTTGTTGGGGCAACATTTTTCCTTTTCATTTTATTCCTTATAAATAAACAAAGCAGTAGCTAAAGCAGCTAGCCTCGTGCTAACGGTAGCTTACTTTTTGACTCCAGTGAACTTCATGTGATTTGGTGGTTAATGTCCATTAAACTTCACAGTTACATGTTAAATATATATATACATATATATATGTATATATGTATATATATATTTAACACATGTAACTGTGTAAAGACAGAATTAGAGCACCGCGTCAGGGATCATGTGAACACAATGAAAAGTGTAAAAGTTAAGTTATTAATCAGAGTTTTGTTTAATTCGACTTTCTGCAAATAAAACTACAGTCTTGTTCTAAAGGGTTTCATTCAAGGCTTTAGTTTAAGGTTGTAAACGCTGCTTATGTTTCCCAAATGATGTGGATCCACACTTTAATTATGCTTTTGTTGATTAATTTAGTTTCGGTTTGACTCAGTTGTTCATCATTCAGCCTTCAAAATAAAAGCCTTCAGTCGGCGCTCAGTGAAGAAGCTGGTCTGCTTCTTCTTCCTGCCTGAGTCCTGCATGTTCAACTTGCAGTTAAAGTATAAAAGCCAATAAAAGCCTCGTGCTGTGTCGAGGTTCAGTGTTCAGTCCTGTGGTTTCAGCTCAGTGGAGTCTTTGCAGAGTTCTTACCTTCGGGCAGCAGCAGCAGCAGCAGCGAGCAGCTCCGTTCTGGTCCAGGACAGGACTGGGTGTGGTGCTTAAATAGCAGCTGGCTGGCTCGCGCTGCTATCTGAAGGGCTGCATGACTCAGTGGACCAAACTTTTACACATCAGGCTGAGCAGAAATTCCTCAGCGAGGCTCGGATCGACTCGCCGAGGTCACAGGAGGCGCCGCTCTCCCATTGGCTGCCTGGAAGGAGCCCATCAAAGTTAGAAGTGGAGATTTTTTGCAACCGAGTGAAGCAGAACAAAAGTTTTAACCCCTTCATGCATCAGAGAGAGAATAAAGCAGTGGATGCAGATTAAAGCTGAATACAGCGAGCAGCAGGAGTCCTGGTTCAGAAACAGTCATAATAACTTTATAACACGTCTGTACAGAACATCAGTACAAATATGAAGGTACAAGGCTGGTTTCACAATATTTAGACAGTTTATATCCATGTGATCAGTTCCTCTGTGTTTTATGTGGGTTTTGGTCTGAAGGAAACACGTCTGGTTCGATGTTAGCAGCCACAATGAAAGCTTTACTGACATATAATGAGACTTAAACTGCTTTTCTTGTTGTCCTGATAGTAAATCATATTTATCATAAATGATCTTTAACGTTCACATGATGCATTCAGTTGTAAAAACTACAAACATGGATGTTTTATTTGTAGTTTTTACGGTGCAGTGGTTTAACACTGACCTCAGTCTGAATCAATCAAACTGTAGACGATAAAAATGTTCACAGACTGAACCTGTACAAGTTTAAAACTGCCTGATTGCCTTAAAGTGGCTTCTTGTGCTCCCAGAGCTCACAGGTTCACCCTGGAGCTGCTTTAGCCTCTCTGCTAACAAATGTTGTGCTTTTACTGCTACTAAATTAATCAGGTACAGTTATTTTACAGATTAGGATTCTGTGTCCAAAACCAATTTAGATCTTGTAAAATATGATGCTCTGTTACTAAACAGTAAACACAAGTAAATAATCTGCTTGTTTTACTTTTGAGGTCTGGATCATCTGACGATGTCCTGATTAATGTCGTATCTACATGGAGTCCTTTGAACAGTTTGTCGGTCTGTTAACTGGACCGTCGGTGCTGAGCTGAAGGTGCTGAACTCTGTCCTGCTGTCTGACCTTCTGTTCTGATCCAGAGACGGTAAAAGTTCAGCTTCACGTCTGCAGCTGATATTCGCTGTTTGACCTCCACAGAGACTCTGAGCGGTTTTACTGTCCTGATATTGATCTGCTGGGTGGTGATAATGCAGGCGTGGTGGGTGGAGCGCTGCAGAGGAGCAGTTTTATGGATCTCACCCAGGTCAATAAATGGTGGTCGAGGAACACCCAGCCTCAGGTGAGTCATGGCAGGAAGTGATGTCGCTGCGGGGGAGCGGTGGTGAATCTCCAAACAAAGCATCACTGTTCATGAGTCAGCTGCTGTTTCATGAGAATTCTTTTGTGGATCCGAGAGCTTCGTGCTCCGCTGGATCCTGCAAGAACAGTTCATTCATCTTAATGAGTCACGGCTCAGATCAGCAGAACCCGTCCAGGTTGAATCATCAGCGCTAACGATTAGCTGCTGCGCTACAAAACAGCTGAATCTTTTAACTTTAAAATACACAAAAACTTAAATGTAATTTACACGAAAATAAGTTACGTATATACCAGACTTTTGAATTATTTTTAAGTGGAACGTTGCTAGCTAGCTGTTTCCTGCTCTTCCCAGCCTCTACCTTAAGCTAAGCTAACTAGCTGCTGGCTGTACCTTTATTCTTACCAAACAGACATGCATTATTTTAAAGAAGTTTTTTCAATGAGTTAACTTGTGTTTTGAACCTAATTAGCCAGTTGATGCTAATGTTATAGCTGACTAGCTAATGGACGCTAAGCAGCTGCCGCAGTACTGGTTAGCTAGACAGCTAGCAATTAATCATGATTGTTATAAATGATCAGCACACAGGTAGCGTCCATGAAAGCTAAGTGGTGGTAGATGGGCTAAATAAGATAATGTAATTAGCAAGATAACGTCTCAGCTTGCTAGCTAATGTCATGTCATAGCAAGTACAGCCAATCTGTGGCTGTCCCAGGTCTGTATTTGTTTTAGTTATTTTCTGTGAGATGGCTGCAATAAAAGATGATATTGGCTTTGATAAAACGGTGAAGTGATCATCAGACTGAGGTTTCTGTGATTTCTGACTCCTGGGTCCTCCTTTCTGTCGGCTCTCTGCTGCAGGTCTGCAGGGTGCCGCTGGAACCACAGGAATGTGAGCCGGACTTCAAACCGTCCTCTCAGGGTCGAACTGAACTCTGAGGCTGTCGCAGCAAAACACTGCGTTTCCACGGTAACACAATCCCTGAGGCTGATTAAAGTCGGAAGGAGAAAGTTCAGAGGTGTGAGTCTGATAAGAAGATCCACAGACTCAGGAAGACAAACAAGAGGATCTCAGGTGTTTCCTTCCTGTCGCTCTGAACTGGCTCAGGTCCATCTGCTGGTGCTGCAGTTCACACATGGACCAGCAGAGGGCAGCACCAGCACATGAGAGTATGAGGAAGATGAAGACGTAATGAAGAGAGGATCAAAGTTCCACCTGACCTCATTAGAACCAGCCGGTTCTGTTTCTGCAGAACCTTTATCTACTGACCAGAGTTCTACCTTCAGACTGTGAATGTTCCAGAGGTCCAGGTCCTTGAAGTCCACAGAGGAGGGTCCAGATTGATCACTTTAATGGACTTTTTCCATCATTTCTGAGCCTCAGAACTTCATCAGTCCAGCAGATAGACACATGACATTTAGGAGGAAGAACACATCTGGGTTCTGCTAGAACCTGACACCAGATCAGTTCTACATCCATCCAGGTGTCTCAGTCTGAACACTGGACCTGGTTCTGTTTGTTTAGGTTATGACCAAAAGCTTTGGGTACTGACAGAAGCCTCCCAAAGTTAGAACCAAATGGTCCAAACACCTCAAACCTTATCAAAATAATAATTTTTAAAAAAGCTTGAAATTCAGAAATGATGGAAAAGGTCCATTAAAGGGATCAATCTGGACCCTCCTCTGTGGACTTCAAGGACCTGGACCTCTGGAACATTCACAGTCTGAAGGTAGAACTCTGGTCAGTAGATGAAGGTTCTGCAGATACAGAACCAGGTGTTCTGAGGAGGTTCTGGAGGACTGACTGACACAAAGTTCTCTTTAATGTCTGATCTCCTCCATCTTCCCAGATGGATTCAGACATTCAGGGTGATCCAGTGAACCAGAACCGGGTCTGAGCTGTTCTCTGTGGTCTGGATGGTTCAGCTGCAGCACCTGAGCTTCAATCCTCTGTTTCGCTGACGCTGGAATTAACCTCGTTAGCAGCTAATCCTCGTTAGGGCATCGTTAACAGCTTTAACCTGCAATCTGCTGCAGACAAACACTGCACAAGAGAACCAGAACCAGAACCAGAACCAGAACCAGAGTTATCCTCAGCCAGAAACAGATCCAGCTTTAACACAACTATATTCAGTTGTGTTTATGTGGGTTCTTCAGCTGGAGGTTTGTAGGAGAACTATTGTGACGTCCTGATTGTAGGAGCTACAGTAGACCGGTCCAGAAGGTACAGAGGCATGGAGCAGCTTCTCAGAACTCAGAACCACTGTTAGGATGTTCCTGTGAGATGAAAAACGGCCTTAAAATGCTCTCTCAGGTAGTTCAGGTTGAGGTTCTTGCTGGTCTGAACCACAACACGGTGACGTCATGGAGATGAATGTAGAACACCAACAGGTCCAGACTGGTTCCACTAACTTCAGCTGTTTTCTGTTTTCTGTTATTTGTGGATCAAATTCTTGCTTCTTTTTATTTCAGCAATAATTATTTTTTTTAAATATATTTTCTGACCACTTTGGTTTTCTTGTCGTCTCTTCGACCTTCTTACGATCAACAGACCGACTCTGTGAAGCAGGAATCTGAATCCTAGACGAGTGTCGGCCAACAGTCCCAGTGAAACCAGTGGAATAAAACAAAGTCTCCTTCAGTCCAGTGAATGTACTGCCTTAGATGTTTCACTTTAAGGGACTCTGTGCAGCACTCTGAAGTCTCTCAGCAAAGGAGAAATCAAGCCTTAAGTGGAAAATCTACGGAGTTTTGTTCACTCGGTTCCAGGTCTTTATGTCCTGAAGAAAAGCCTGAAGTTCGACTGGTTTTAGGGTTTTGAGGAAACGTTTCTGTCCACATCGAGTTCTCAGATCTGCTGTTTGATCGTCGTGTCGGGTTCCATAAAACCACGACGACGAAGGCCTGAAGTCAAAGTCTTCCACAGAAAACTGAGAATTCTTGATGTCTACGTCCATCTTTTCTACGGTCACAACATGTGGTTTAAACAGCCGGTGAGTTTATCGACATCTTGAGAAGATTTAGGTCTGAAGAACATCTGCATCCAATAAAATCCCCACTTCATCAAGATCTAAAACTTTAAAGGGTCATCGTGCTGGTGGAACATCAAAACCAAGTGGCCCTTCAAAGATCCCTGTTTGGGTTTGTTGGGTGTGTTCAGCTGAGAGGAGCATCATCTTGGTTTCATCGTGTTCAACATCTGATGCAGCAGGAGTGAAGCTGCATCTGTTTTCATCTCAGCAGAAGCAGGAGGCCTCTTCACTGAGTCAGTTTGACCAGCAGAGCAGCAGATTGCAGCGTCGTCTGCATAGAAACAGACACTGATATGGAGCTTTTCAAAGAACTCCATCTGTCCTGAACAGAACCACCTGCTGGACTTTTCTCTGCAGCTGATGGACAGAAGTGAAGCTGATATTCATCTGACTCTGGCAGAAAGAGCATTTCTCTACATGGGTTGTAGATCGTTCTGTCTTATCAGGTTTTCACCACCAGTCATGCTGGTTCTGTTCAGTGAGAACTAAAGTTTGGTTCTGCAGAGGTTCCCTTTATGTTCCAGCTTCTGTCGGTGTAATCTGAGGTCTGGTCCGTCCCGCTTTGTCCCGCTCTGCCCTTCACTTCCTCGGTAATCCTGTTAGCAGAGCTCCCTGGTAATCCTCCCAGATCCCTGCAGGTCTTCACGGCTCCTTCACTGCAGATCTGTGGGATGCTGCTGGACCCCGACTGAACACTCAGGTAGGACCAGAGACCGACACCAAGACCACCGACACCTGCAGACAACCAGAGCACCTGATTCTGGTTCTGGAGTTGACTAGTTTGGTTCAGTTTGTTAGTGTCAGGTGCATGAATATTAACTAGTTGTGTTTGTAGCTAAATCCTGGTGACGAGTTTTAAAGGAGGTTCAGGTTCAGATGGACCAACAGAACCAGGATCAGTACGACACCTGATATGTTGAACTTTTTAAAGGTGTTTGTCGACATCAGAGCTTCTGTAGGAAATCCCCACGAGTGACTTGAGTCATAGGAAAACTTCTGATACTTTGAGCTGAAACCAGAATGTTCTGGACCGGCAGCTTCTGTTTGCTGTAGACGTGTCCGGTCTGCTTCTCTTCCTCATGAAGGAGAAGGTCTGTTTGTCTGAACCGATGGTCTGAAGAGTCATCGACTGTAAAACCCTCAAACCAACCAGAGTCCAGATCCTGTTTGTGGACTCAGCAGTGCTACTAACCAGAACTCTGACTGGTCCACACCGGACCGGACCACGGCTAACCCTAACCCACAGAAACCACATCTTCATCCTCCGTTAAAGGACTCGGCAGAGTAACCATCTGAGTAGAAGCCGGTTGATTTGCTGACCTGGTAACCAGCCAAAGACGGTGCAGCTCAGTGATTCACCAACGAGCTAACTTGTGATTTTCTGACTAAACCTCTGACTAACTTGTTAACTAATTTGAGCGACTTGCTGACCTTTAACCACCCAGACCGGTAACCAGAAGAACCTGTTTGAATTCTGATATCATATCTTAGAGGTTTCTATCTGACTAACTGTGTGACTTGCTAGTTAGCCGATTAGTCGATTGACTAACAAGGTGACCATTAATTATTGAAATGTTAACTGCAGTACCTGAAAACTTCTGTCACTGTTTAACCTGCTAACTAACCCAAAACCAGATGAACTAAGTCAAGTAAGGATCCATTTAAACAGCTCTTTTCAAACAGACAACAGCCCAGAGTGCTTTCCTTTCCTGACTACGGACTAACTAGGTAACCACCAACCTCTGAACTAATCTAAGTTACTGCCTGTTTAACAACTAAACTGGTGAATGTTGTAGCTGCCCCCCCTGCTAACTAATTACCCAGTCAACTAATCAGGCGATCATTAACCACTACCTGATCACTGTCTAGTTGTCTGGCTGACTGACTAAACTAGCAGATTCTGTCACTGTCTGACTTGCTAACCAACTAGTTACCAAACTAAGTCAAGTCACCGTTAATTACAGCACATTTGCAACCACAGATGTTCAGCCAGTACGACCAGTTTACTGGACTAACCAGGTGATCATTACATGGTGAACTAGTTAGCTACACTACGGCTAAACTAGCAGATTCTGTCTCTGTCTGACTTGCTGACTAACTCATGACTAGACCAAGTCAAGTTAACTATTTATACGACATCTCTAAAACAACAGCAGAGAAATCAGATTGTTTTTACAAATGTAACTTAACTTATCTGTTTAGTAACCACTGACCTGTACTATCTGGATATGAAAACTAGTTAACTTGCCAGCTTTATTGATTATTATCTATCCAGCTGGATACCGACTGGTTGTCCGACTGGAGAACTGAATGAGTAACTGGACGACTTCCCAGCTGGTTCACTGGTTAATGGGATTAGTGGAAAGTGTGAGTGATGCTGGTGACCAGTTTAACTGGCTGTGTGATGCAGTGACACAGCTGTTCTGAGCTGCAGAGAATTAGGGTCACGATCCGTCAGCAGTAATTGAAGCCGACGTTCAGCCAGACGATCTAAACACCGGGAAGGACGGCGGGTCGGTCAGACGCTACAACTAGTCCTGGACTCTGAAATCACTTCTTATTTACATTAGAAACCTTTAAGACTTCACAGTTCTGGCCCACAATGATATAAACTCACAGAGTTTATTCTTAAATGTTTTCAAAATGTGAAATATTCAGACGTGTTGGACCCGTGACAGACTGAACCTTTAATATGTACAACTGCCTCAGAACAATATTTCATATTTAACTTTGTGTCGCTGGAATCGGCAAAACAACAATCAAAGAAATGACATTTTCCTCAGAGAAGTGAATTTCACACAGTTGTCAGTAAATCAGAGCTGAGATTTAAAACAAATCACTACACTGCAGCTTGTAGAGAAGTCCAGTTAGTATGAGAACGTCTCCAGTTAACCTCACAGCGAGCTGACCGGCACAGCAAGGAGCTGATCAACACCAACCATCAGCTTCATCACACAGCTGCAGCTCCCAGGAACACCAGCAGCTTATAACGAACAGAGATGTGAACGTTTAAACAGCTGCAGCTGTTTGGTCATTAATCTGTTTGTTTGTTTGTTTGTTTGTGTCTGTTTGTTTGTTTGTGTGTCTGTTTGTTTGTTTGGTTGTTCATGGAGGATGTTGAGCTGGGTGGTCAAAGTTGTTCCCCAGCCTCCTGAGCCTCCTCCCAAAAAAGTCGACGAGCAGAAGGAGGTGAAACCAGAGGCCCCGCCCCCTGCCCCCGCCCCGGCTCCAGCTCCGCCTCCTGTTGTTGTAAGCCACGCCCCTTTTCGGCTTTCATTACTAGATTTTGAGTAAAGTTTTTTAGACCAACTGCCACAGTGCCTGGTGGAGACACACATATATATGATTTATATATGTATAAATATATGTATATATGAAACGACATTGCAAACAGGTGTTAAATAATATGAACTGTGAAGTGATGTATGAAGTCAGATGTGAGATGACGTCGTCTTGTGTTTCAAACAGGAGAAGAAGGTGACGTTTCAGGATGAGTGTAAAGTGGAAGGTGAGAACGGAGAACGTTACCTGGTTCTGTCTGGTTCTGTTGGTCTTCACACTAAACATGCTTCACTGTTTCACCAGCAGCTCCAAAAGCTGACAAACCAAAGCCGGAGGCCCAGGCAGCGCCGGGGAACGGGTGAGTTACCCCGACACCGTTAACAACTCTGAGTTAGCTATAATATCCACGTCATCACATCTGTAAGCTGAAGTTTGGTCGTTTCCCTTTAATTCCTGATTCCTGATTCCTGATAACACAACATCCTAAATGAATAAATATCCTGCTAGCTACCACATCAGCCTTCACATGTTAGCCTAAATATCTGCAGTAGCCCAACAGGACAACGGTAGCCGCTACATTAGCCAAAACGTTATTTAAGGTGAACTCTGTGTCCTCAGCCCGGTGCCTGGTTCCCAGTCCGGCGTCCTGACGTGGATCAGCGGCGCTTTGCCTCAACCTGCCGTCTCACCGAAGCTGAGCCGAGCCAACTCCACAGCCACAGTAAGAACCGGATGTACTGACCCAGGATCAGGTTCTGCAGCAGGATCCAGCTGCAGCAGCTGAACATTAGGACGAGAGCTGCAGGTTTTAAACAGCGTTCCTGATTGATAGTGACAACGTTATCAATCAATAATCAGTTAATTATTGAATGAATGAAGGACAGTTTACGTCCTTGGTCTATGATCTGAGCTGCTCTCAGCTACAGACACGTTTTCCATCGGAGCAGCTCCGTTGTTTTGGCTGTTTAAGAACAGCAGCAGTGTTCTGGTTGGAGGTCCTGAACCTCCTCAGAGTCTCTGTCATGGTCCCGGTGCTGCTAAACTCCCACAATGCTCTCTGCTGCCACCAGGAGCTGTAGTCTGTAGACGCCTCCTCTGGTCCCTACAGGACTAAACAGGAAGAGGCTCCACCTGGTGGAACAACCAGGTACTGCAGCTGGTCTATGGTATGTTTACTGAGATTATGACCTTCGTTGGGCTGCAGGTGGATCAGTGGTTAGCACCGTTAGCGCCTCACAGCTAGAAGGTCGCCGGTTGGCGTCCCGGTGAGGACACCCGGGATCTTCCTGCGTGGAGTCTCCATGTTCTCCCCGTGCAGCGTGGGTTCTCTCCGGGTTCTCCGGCTTCCTCCCACAGTCCAGAAACATGCTGAGGTTAATTGGTGATTGTAAATTGTCCGTAGGTGTGAATGTGAGTGTGCTTGGTTGTCTGTCTCTAAGTGTAGCCCTGTGATAGACTGGTTACCTGTCCAGGTGAACCTGCCTTCACCCTGAGTCAGCTGGGATAGGCTCCGCCCCCATAGTGAGGATGAAGGTGTAGAGATGATGGATGGACTTCATTTTCTGCCTTAACAGTTAATACATTCTTTAATTGGTTAGATTATTAATTTAAATTAACAAATTAAGGGTTCATTATGAACATCACTCGTCTGAGCAGCTGCTGCTTCTGGATCCTGAGGTCTCTTCATGTTCAGCTGTCTGATAACGTTTCCTGTGTTTCCCTCATCATGTCTGCTCACAGGAGGAACCTGCACCTGCCAGGTAAACACACCTGTAAACACACCTGTAAACACACCTGTAAACACACCTGTAAACACACCTGTAAACACACCTGTACAACACTCTTGAACCATGAGACACAAACAACACAACTTTGTTAGCTTGCAGAAAACAGATGTGTTGGATCAGCGGTTCCCAGCAGAATGAGTCACAGCCTGTTCTTGTTTTTGTTTCTGTCATAAATCAGAGTTTTAATTTTATGTAACGTTGAAAGAAAATCTGCTTTGAGTGAAGAACTGAGCGGCTGGGAATCGCTGAGTTAGCGTGATTCTGATGTTGCTCTGTTCCCCCCCGACAGCAGCCCTGAGGACGAGTGAGTAAACATGAAGGCCAGATATTGAGCTGCTTTAAAACCCACCAGCAGACAGGGTGCCAAATAATGTGCTGCTTATAAACTGCCAGCAGGACAGGTGCCATATAGTGAGCTGCTGCACAAACTGCTCAGCAGGCAGGAGGCCAAACGCTGAGCTGCTTTACAAACATCAACAGACACGGTGCCAGATACGGAGCTGCTTTAACAGGCATGGTGCCAAATAGTGAGCTGTGGTATAAACACATCAACAGGCAACTTGCCAAATAGTGAGCTGCTTTGCAATCCCCTCCGCTGGCAGGATGCCACATACTGAGCTGTCCCATCATGAGGCTCCACAGCGCGTCCTGGCAGCTACTGATTACACACATTTGTGTTTCCTCCACAGGAAAGGGATGATGGCTTGGATCTCTCAGGGTCTGGAGAAGGTAGTTCCTCAGCCTGATCTGAAGGCCAAAGAGCCCAAAGAGCCCAAAGACACCAAAGACACCAAAGAGACCAAAGAGACCAAAGAGTCGCCGCCTGCAGCCGAGCCACCGGTCGAGGTACAGCCACTCCTGGTGTTACTACAGAATACAGTGTTGTTGTCATGGCTGAGTCCCACCATGTTCCTCACCAAGTAGAAGCCCAGATGTTACTGTTCTCTTCTGCTCTGAGAGCATCTGCTGCTCATGTGATCTCACCTGCTGTTACTGACCAGCTGTTCGTTTCTCCTCAGGTGTGTCAGAAAGCAGCTGCACCAGGTGAGAGCAGCTCTGAATGTTGCTGCAGACACGTTTCAGACTTTGGCTGCAGCTCAGTCCATCGAGTGTTTCTTCTGTTTCAGCTGCAGAGCCTCCGATGGCGGTGGTGGAGGTGGAGTCAGACAAGGAGGACAGCAAGCCTTTCCCTCCCAGGTGGGCACACACATCTACTATTACATCACATTTGATCAAATCGTGCATACATGTCAAGAAATTAACAAAAACTATCAGTGACCAATCAGAAAATAAGAAAAGTACAAAAATCCAGAATCTGTTCATCAGTATTTCTTCATCAGACAGTAGCAGCTCCTTACATTTAGTTTTCTACAAGAAATTAAAGGGCACAGAAATTAGTTTCTATTTGTTCTGAGCTCTATGCAACTCAACAAACATCTCTTTTAAGTAAACAGCAAAGTACTGGTCCACCAAATGTCCGGGTTTGTGAGGCAGAGCTAAGAATTAGCATTTTGTGTTGTGCAGCAGTGAAATGTTGGTTAAAGTGTTTGTGATGCCACAGGATGATGGACTGGATCAAACATGGGATAGAGAAGGTGGTTCCTCAGCCAGAGATCCACATCCGCGCAAAGATGGATGGAAACGAGAAGACCGAGGCTCCAGCTGCAGCTAAAGGTTCAACTCATGGTTTTGAGCAGCTAGTTTAACCGTTAAAGGCTCTGTGGAGCTTTAACCCTTCAGTCTGACCGGCACGGTGCTCATTAATGAGCAACGCTGAAACCAAGACTCGATTGTTTTCTTAATGGGACTCACAACTAGGTGCAGTGACCTTCTGATGACCTCTGACCTTTAACCTTCTCTGTCTCCTGCCTTTTGAACAGCTGAAGCTCCAGCAGCTCCTGCAGCCTCCAAACCAAACACAGACACAGAGAAGTGAGTCAAGTCCTGGAGTCGTGTTGAACATGACAGTGAAACTCAGGAAAAACACCATTTAATTAGGATCCAGTTATAACCGGGGTCTGATTTTCTCACGTCTTCTGCTGCCACATCAAATATTTTGCAACCAACCAGAACATCAGTTCATCAGATTGTAGGAGAAGCGAGAACATCAGGTCTCTGAGGACCGAAACGCTGGAGTTCTAAAAGTTCATGATTGATTAAAGCTCAGTGTGGACGTTCTCTCTTCTCTCATCTGTGGATGTTTCCTCTGACACACCTGTCGACAGAAACATGTGGATGTATGAGAGCCGATACAGTCAAGTTTATCCAGCTGTCCTTTATATTTGCATTGTTTGCTAAAAACCGATATCCTACAGAGCTAGCATCGTGATACTGTACAGCTAACCGTTAGCAACACAACTACAGTCATACAACAATGCTAGCTATACAGCTAATGTCACAGAAAAGAGGCTAACTGCACAGCTAGTCATAGAAAGAAATTAAGTCCACAGCTAAAGTCCTATAAACGATGCTAGCTGTACAGTTTAAGTCACAGAAAAGTGGCTAACTACACAGCTAAAGCAATGGAAAGATGCTAACAACACTGCTGAAGTTGTAGAAAGATGCTAACCATGCAGCTAACACCACACAAAGGCAGCTAACTGCACAACTAATGTCTCAGAAAGAGGCTAACTCGTCAAAAATGGCTAATTGCACAGCTAATGTCACGGAAAAAGGCTAACTATATGTCTACAGTTGTAGAAAGATGCTAACCACACAGCTAAATTCAAAGGACCATATTAAGAGAAAGCCACGAGGCTGACTAAAACTAAACCTAGATTTAGTCACTGATTTTCTCCTAGTTCTCATGTTAATAAAGTGAAGATTTGGTTTTAAACTCGGTGATTCTGCCAAAATAAGCAACTAAACTTCTGCTAAAGGTAGCTAGCTTAGCCGATCTCAGTAACTGCTTTCTCATAGTTTCACTCCAGTAAATGATATTTATGGTATTTGATAGTTTACTGCGTTTAAATCTGAAATTCTCTTCTTGAATAAAATGAAACACGTTTTGTTTTGTCTTCTCAGGTCGACCAAAGAAGCAGAGCAGCCGCCCAAGTAGGTCACGCTGTAATCTGGGTTTTTTAAAGGTGGCCGAATATTTTATTTCCTGAAAGTGTTTTGTTCTGTAACCTGACAATGAGGTGTCGACGTGTACAAGGAGAGCCTGTTATGTTGGCTTTGGTCTAACACATTGTGTTGTGTTCAGTATGATGGGCTGGATCGTCAACGAGATCGGCCGCATGCTGCCTCAGCCCGTCCCCAAGGCGGTGAGTCACCACCCAACAAATCAATCCAAGTTACAAGTTCAAGAAAACAAAACATGTAACGACAACATTTGTTTACCTCATGCAGGACGCAGGAAGTGACGACGTGCAGACGAGTAAGTAGAATCTTTACAAAGCTCCCTGTAGAACCTCAGAACCTGTTGGGCTCCAATCAGGGTCGTATGAGACCAAGCTGTTGGTCCACAACGTCCAGCAGGACTGAGCACACCGCGCTGCAGCATCACTGAAATGTCAAACAACTGCATTATTTCTACATTGAACAGTGTTGAAAATGTAGCCCATGAAGTAGAAACTCAGTGCAACAAAAGTGGATCAAGCTGTGATCACCA